CATTATCCAAGATACACATTTCGACTATTGCTAGCGAAATGTGGATGTACATTGTTAAAATGTTTCCAGGCTCTTGCATCTGATGGATGAGTCATCTCTCCATCCATCTGAGTATGCTTGGTGTGCCATCTCATCCCTCCAGCAGTCTCCTCAGATTGGTACAATCTTTTCAATGTGTCTGTTATTGGTAGGTACCACATCCTTTGGTACGGTACCCTATTACACCCTCGACCTTGCGGTTTGAATCGTGGCTTCTTACAAAATCGACATTCTTCTAACTTCTCATCATCTCCCCAGTAAATCATGCAGTTGTCAATGCAAACGTCTATCATCTCCGAGGGCAACCCAAGACTATATACCAATTTCTGAATCTGATAATAAGATTCAGCAAACACATTGTCTTCTGGCAAATACTCTTTAAACAAGTCTGCCCATGCATCCATACAATTTTCAGGTAGATTGTGATCGGTTTTAATACTCTTCATTCTAGCAGCCAACGACAATTTAGACAGACCTTTCTCTACAACCACTGTAAATTGGCTCATTCGCAGCTTCTAACATTTTATAAATTTTTTTTGCATCTAAGTTAGGTTCTTCAACTTCATCATCATCATGAGTTACAAATGCATCACCTACCATATCATGAACCCTATCACAATCTACCATTTGTTCATCTTGGTGATGATAGATATTTTCATTACGCAAATGATCAACCGGTTCAAACTGAAAATTGCTATTACTACTGCTACCTTCATTCCTACAACTAGCATCTTCTCCATGTTGATACCAAATATAATAATATGGCATGAAACCTCTATTTATTAAATGCTTCCAAACATTTTCACGAGGGCCTAATTTTGTATTGCATCATTTCCGACAAGGACAGAACATCTTACCACTTTCCTGCGTGAGTGGTGTAGAATCTGCTTGATGCATAAACGTCTCCAACCCTTCGAGAAATTCTTTCGTCACCCTCCCGTTATCATCTCTGTGTGAATACATCCACTTCCGCAACTCAAAAATATTTTCCGGACCGGACATTTTTTTGTGTTTGATCAAGCTTATAGCTGATTTTTTTTTGGTGTTTTTCAAATGAATCACAAATGGTGGTATTTATAGAAATTTTTGAATCTGAGCATTTACTAGGAAATTGCTAGGAAAGGTAGGTACAAAACACGTTTTGATTTAAATTCGATATTTTCTATCTAGTTCCTCATAATTTCGTAGTAACAAATATATTCCTTCTAATTTTGTAGTAAGGTTTTACTAGGACTTTACGAGGAAAGTTATTACTACGCGTTTACGAGGAAATGGACTTTTGCCACGTAGTTTCCTCGTAATGGTACTACAGTCTTACGAGGAAAACTGTTTCTCGTACCTGTACGATGATCGTACGAGGAAACTAGTTTTCCTCGTAAACCTAAGTAAGTTCGTAATAAATTTTCGAGGAATTATTTTCCTAGTAAAATTTCCTAGTAAATTCTTAGTTTTCTTGTAGTGAGTGTTATTAATAAAAAAAATACTGGGATTTTGTTACCATTGCATCAACAAATCATTTTCCACAGTGAAATCTATCCTGTTTATTTCAATGAAGATATAGATTTCTTTAGTTAGAAATCACACAATACATAACTATACATAACTCTAGCTTTAGCATAAAAGCCTTGTAAAGAAACGTAAGGGCTTCTTAAGATTTGGAAACAATTTGCCATACTAGAAGTTTAGTACTGTAAAAATGTGTCAATAAACCCGACATTGTCCACCTAGTATACATATATATATAGTTGATATTCATTTTAGAACATCAAGCTTTTTAAACATATTTCATAAAATTCATTTTTATAGTTCTCCCAAAAATTTAGTTATGTAACTGGTGTAATTCTTATTGTTTAAATTTTTGTTACTTTAATATAGGGATGGACAAAAATAACAAACCGAACCATGTCAAACTGAACAAACCAAACCGAAATCGATCCAAATCAAACCAAACTATTATCAAATACTTTGGTTCAACCCGAACCAAAAAGAAAATGTGTTTTTGTTATTATTTGAAGTAAATGTATTAGCAATATACAATGTACTAAAATCACTATTAATTTTATGAACGATGTTGGTTTTTTAGATTTACTTTAGTTAATTTTGATTTGATTGTGTTCTTATAAACTCTTTGTATTTTTAAAAGATCTTTGTTTTGGTTTTATTTTGGATTTAGTTTACATAGATTATTTTTTCATATATAGTCTCCAACATGATTTCATGACTATGCGTTTATGTTTTAAAACATAACTTCTCTTAAAAGAACTAAACTTAGAAAATCTGGTTAAATCAAACCGATACACGAACTAAACCGGATACAAACCGAACCGAAACCAATCTAAAGCAAACAAATTATGGTTCACTTCAGTTGAAAAAATTCTAGAACTGAATTAATGAAACCGAATTGAATCCAAACCGAATTGGTAAAATAACCAAAGTGCCCAATAAATAGTTGTAAGTTGGTTAAAAAATATTGATGTATTTTTGTTAATTTTGAATACCAACATAGTCCACTTGACATATATGTCACGGACAAGGGGAAATAAAGTGAAAGAAAAAAAGGGTTTTGATAACTGGATTGCTGTAGAGGGAAAGTATCATCAGCTTTTGGTTTTTGGTTTTTGGGGAGAGCAAATCGACTCCGACTCCCACTTCTTTCGTGTTTATCAATGTTCCATTTATTCGATTGTAGATCATGGTAGCAAACAAGCAATGTAGCATTACTGTTATAGCACACACACGCGTATGTATAATCGAGTATTGCTTTAGAGCATCGAATGATTTTTAGTCCAATGGTTCACTATAAAATATAGTTACTCTATTATAGAATATAAAATAGAGGGATATCAATGGTTCACTATAAAATAGAGTTACTCTATTACAGAATAGAAAATAGAGGGATATCAATGAAAAAATGATATTCCTCTATTTTCTATTCTACAATACAGTAACTTTATTTTAGAGTGAACCATTGGAGTAAAAATCATTATAAAATAGAATTATTTTATTTTTGTGGAAATTATAAATGAAAAAATAGGTTTGGATTGGAAATGATCTTAGTCAACAAAATAAAAATAGTTAATAGGGTTCCACAAAAATTATAAGTAAAAATAAATCGAGGTTTATTATTTAGTTTCAACGCTCATGACATTCATCTGTATGTATAATACATTATACATGTATGTAGTTGGGAAATGATGTCGATGTTGTGAATCGTATACAAATTTCTACCGATGTTAATTCGCCTGTACTGTTAACTACTTTTACAAGTTTGTGTCACAAATTATACTAACAAAGTTTTCGTAAATTTCATAAGTTTCAAATGTTTGGAACCCTTTATAAAAAAGGTTTGGAGCTTGGACCGATTCAGTTAAAGGACAATGAGTGCAATTGTGCCTGTATTCATGATATGAGTGGTATTTATTTTTTGGGAAACATAGTTAGGCAAACATATATAACAAAAACTTATATGTATATATATAATAACGTTTTTTTGTTTGTATGTATTTCCATAGCTAGCTTTATTTTTATTAAAAGGCACATAAATAATTTAAAAGGTAAAGTTATTTTAACAAAAATAATTTGTTAAAGTTTGGTTAATTTCCTAGCGGCTACGAAAATTATAAACATTCTTTGCAACTGAATTTACACAACGTAAAATGAATAAATATGTAAATGTTAGTGTTCAGTACAAGCAATAAAAATTAAAGGCTATTGAACATTTAAATACGTGAAACAGTATTTTCTTTTTTGTGTACAACGTGATAAAGTTTTTTTAATATGAAAATCAACACGTTATTTACATACGTACGAGTCGTCACTATTACAAAACTCCCAATGTAAAAAGCCTTTTCAAAGAAAACAAAACTTACAATGTAAATGGTTGTCATCTAAGTTACCCGCAGCTATTTATATATTTAGAAAGTAAGGATGTTTCTTATTTAAAAAAAAAAAAGTTACCAGCAGCTAGTATAATTGAATACATGCGTACAAAGGAAGAGTAAGCTTCTTTTTTCTTTTCTTTTTTTAAAGGAAGAGTAAGCTTCTTTATATTCGTTTTTAACCGTACACTTGTTTTAAATCCGTCTTTACCTTTTTTACTCTATTTATCTTTTTCTTTTCTTTATATGAATAGACCAAACGGTCAAATGTTTGGGCCCTTCTTTTGCATGATTTTTAGTAATTTTAACTAAAGGTTTATGATTTAAATGCGGTTAATAAAGCAACGCTTAAAGTCTCATAATTACAGCATGGGGACTGAAAACCCTTTGAAAAAGCATGGGTATAAAGTTTTAATCTTTAAATACTTTTTATTTATTTTTATTTTCTTTTTTTAATCTTAAATACTTTTAAAGTAGTCTGTTTTTTATCATTTCACATTCAGATAATTACTGCCATAACATTATTTTATTTTATTAAAAGAAAATTCTCACCTTTTTGTCCTTTAGTGCTCAGTATATATATTGTTTTCCCCTCTTTACTGACATAAAGCGGATCAAACAATGATGTATTGAAATTAAAATTTAATATGATTATTTTACCACATTTGTATTTTACTGTCATAAGATGATAGTACAGTGTACAGACCGTAATAAGATTTGCTTAAAACACGTGTTCGTTAACTATTGGCTAAGAGTCAGTTTCCACTATTAAAAAATATAAAAAGGAATAATCCATTTTCGTTTGAGAACCGGATATTCGACGGTAGTGGAGGACAAGAAACGTAATTTTACTATTACCAGTTACTGACACGTCTCCGTAAAAAGGATTCACCACCACGTCGAGATGAAAACGACAAGAAGTCATTTAAAAATTAAAAGAAGGTAAAACGGTAAGAAACAATTACCACGTGACGTGGCATTTACAGTGCTTAGTCATCTTTATCGTCTGGGCCTTTCAGCTTTGGTTCTCCTTTTTTATAAAGTCTCTTCTTCACCCAGACCAACTCTACACCAGAAAACAAAAATTATCAAAAATATACTTATAAGCGCTCTTCTCTCTCTTTTTGTCGATTACCTTTAAATTCGCCGGCGATGAATCTCGCCGGAAAAATGATTAGTATTATGGTCGTCATTAGTAATGCTGTCTCTGACCACCACCGTCACGTTTTCCGTGAAATTTGTCGTTGATTCCTTTTTGTTTCTAGGTTTATTTCTCTAGTAGTATTATTCTTTACTTTTGTTTTGTGAAAAAGATCCGCTGATTGAAGAAAGACTGTCTAAGGTTTTCTTCTTATATTAGCTGAGAGGTTTTGTTAGATTCTTCTTTTTCTTCTTCTTATTAAATTTTGAGAGATCTGAGGTTTGAACGAGAAATTGACTTTGAACAAAACGATGACGTTTACGATGAAGATCCAGCCGATTGATTTCGACTCACCTCAATCCGAGGCCACAACAACCAAACCGGTGCTCAAATCTCGCCTCAAACGCTTATTTGACCGGCCGTTCAGGACCACCACCGCCTCCGAGAAACCATTCCCCGGTGGCGAGACGACGGAGTTCGAGCCGAGCTCCGTTTGTTTAACGAAAATGGTTCAGAACTTCATTGAAGAGAACAACGAGAAGCAAGCCAAATGTGGACGTAACCGCTGTAACTGCTTCAACGGCAACAACAACGATAACTCATCCGACGATGAATCAGATCTCTTCGTCTCTGATCATCTCAAGGTATAAAGACACATTTACCCCTCTCTTAATCTATTCTCTTGGTTAGTTATTAATCTTTGTTCTTGATTTTAACAGAGCTTGATCACGTGCGTGACCGTCGCGGAGAGTAACCTCTTAACCGAGGCAACGAAGATCGTAGATAAGATCAACAAATCAGTCAAACGAAAAGACGAGATGAGAAAAATCGTCAACGAAGGACTCTTATCTCTTAACTACGACTCTTCAATCTGCAAATCGAGATGGGAGAAGTCTCCTTCGTTCCCAGCCGGCGAATACGAGTACATAGACGTAATCGTCGGAGGAGGAGGGGAGCGAGTGTTGATCGACGTTGATTTCAGATCGGAGTTCGACATCGCGAGACAGACGAGCGGTTACAAGGCGCTGCTTCAGTCTCTACCGTTCATCTTCGTCGGGAAATCCGATCGGTTGAGTCAGATCGTTGCGGTGGTATCGGAGGCGGCGAAGCAGAGCTTGAAGAAGAGCGGGATGCATTTGCCTCCGTGGAGGAAGGCTGAGTACATGAGATCTAAGTGGTTGTCGTCTTATACCAGAGCCTTCGGAAACGCTGAGGAGCTGCCTGTTGTGGCGGCCGCGGCGGAGGTGGAGGTGGATTGTGTAGAGCGTGAGCTGGTTTTTGAGGAGAAATCTTTGTCTCCGGGAGTTATTCCTTTGCCGTCTGGTGATGATGTGGCGGTGGAGAGAGAAGTGAAAGTCGTCACCGGTTTAGCTTTACTCTTCAACCGAAAGTCCTCATAAACAAATTTTGGAGTTTTTTCTTTTTTAATTTTCCTTTTACTAATTTTCTTTAGAGGCAAAATTCTACTTTTTTACCGTTCTATTTCTGTAGTTGTTTTTGGCCTCTTTTGTTTTTTTTGTTTTTCTTCGCAAGGGGTTTTACCACTTTGTACTTATTACCGTCGACGGTGAAAAAATAAATAAAAATATTGTACTTACGAAACTCAAAAACACCTGAGAAACTGTGCAGTGTTGTGGATGTGGATAATATCTTAATTTAATTGATACTTTTGATCTCTGTGAAATCTTAAGGGGATAGCGTTTACAATCTGTAAGCACATGAGGGAGCAGAAGAGTATTGACACGATCTTTAATCTAACTTCTCATCTTTTCACAAAACCTTGCATTTTTTTATAATGAATTATACGTTACGAAATTTGTTTATTTTTTTAGTGATGTCAGTTTCGAGAGAAGAGAGAAGCTCGTGGGCTCTCGATAGCCGTGGAGTGCCAAAGTTGTTCTTGAATAACGTTCTATATTTTCTTTTGGCTTTTGATTCTTTTATTGTTTTTTTTTTTCTGATTCCTTATTGTTTGTTAGTTAATTTTTTCATTTAAAGATTTTCTATCGTTTTATTTTTTATTTAAAAAATATTTAAAATATTCAAAAAATCTGGACACGCTAAAACTCTGTCCATTTTATTGGCATTTGGTTCTGCAATAAAAATCTACATCGCTTCGTTGGATCTTTTCTCTTGGGGTTTTGTAATGTTAAAAGCTTAGGTGGATTTAAAATCAAAATAATATAAAAATAAATACATGTGTATATGAGATGTGCATTATTTATGTTTCTGTAATTTGGATTGATGATGGTGAATGTCAAACAAGTAATTATAAAAAAATAGATACAGAATTTTTAAATTATTGTATTTTTTAACACTAGAATTTTATTAACAATAGAGATGATGGAGGAGGAGAAAAAAAAAATAGAGAGGGAGAGGAAAAAATAGAAAATGTGTGGATACTGGATAATAAAATGATAAATTCTAAGATTACAAAGAAAACTATCTTATTGAGGACATCTCCAATGTTTGGCTTCATTTTTTTGCTTTAAAAATATACTTTATTCAAAATGAAGTATGTCTTCTCTAATAGTTTGTTTCATTTTTTTTCTAGTAAAAATAATATTCCAAATATTTTCAGTGTCCACTTTATTATTAATTATTAATAACAACTTCTACTTTTTCACATTTATTAATTTTACTCAATTATTTTTTTTTAACAATAGTTTAGCACAATTGTTATTTAATATACTATTATCATATAAGAAATTTGTTGCATAAAATGAATAAACAAACACATAACACCATATTCTTTTTTTTTGTTATAAAAAAAGACATCTTATATATATATATATATATATATATATTTCTTTAAATGATTAATAAAAATTTTGAAAGTAAAATGTGAGCTTATTTATTTTCCATTATTTGTAAATGAGTTAAAGTTCGTAAAAATAAATATTCTTATATTTTCTATATAAATATCTAATTAGATGAAAAATAGTGGAAATTATGAAATTTATTTGATAATATTAACATACTTAATTTATTTCGATAAAAAAATAAGAATAAGTTAAAGTTAATAATTAATTTATAATTTAGAAAGTTCAACTTAAAAAATGAAGCAATGAACAATATTGCTTCAAAATTTGCATCAGTATTGTTCATTGCTTCATTTTGAAACAAGAAATTATATATCATTGGAGCAAAAATTTACTTTAAAATAAAGCAAAAAGTACAACATGAAGCACCATTGGAGATGATCTGACAAACTGGTGAGCTTAACATATTAAGAATAAGTCAGAGCAAATATAGGCATCATTCTCATAATTCCAGGTGTTTTCAACTAATAAACTCTTTTTTCTTTGTAGCAAATGTGTATTAATTTTTTGAAGGTTGTGAGTTGAGAGCTATGGTGTCAATTATGACTGGGTAAAATATTCGTAAATCTGATTCGATTCAAACTGTCAAATTTAGATATCCGTAATTCTACGAAGCAAAACAAATACGAATATGTTATATCCGTAAGAATTGAAACAAAACATAAATACTAATATCTATAGGAACGGATATCCGATTCGGTTCGTTATATGCATATATATACATATATTTAAAAAAATTACATATAAGTTATATAAATATTATATTATATATATGTTTTACAGTTTTTAATTTACTATATTTATTAAATTAGCTATTAGAATTTTAAAAAGTAAATAAATTTTTAGCTCTTGTAATAAAATATTATTATTTTATAGGGTAATTTTCTCTAATAGTTCTTTTTAAGTTTTTATCACAAAATAGCCCTCAAAAATAAAATGATCAAATAACCCCTTTTTATTTTGAAATTTTTACAATATTTATTTTTTATTTTGCAAAATTTGAAACTCTAGACTCAAAACCCCATCCATTAGCTCTAAACTCTAAGTATAAATTAGTATAAGTGCATATTTACTCCTTAATAAAAATTTTGGTCGTTTATCTTCTTGAAGACTATTTTTGTGAAAATAAACTAAAAATAGATATCTAAGGAAATTTCTCTAATATTATTGAATCTATTTATTTTTTAAATTTATTTATTTATTTCATGGACCGAATCGGATATCCGGTTAAAAATCTAAAATTTTCCTAATATCTGATATACCAAATATTTCTACAAATCGAATCGAATCGAATAGTTGATTATTCAGACGACATAAATAGAATCACAAATACTTCTAAAAACCCAGATTTCTCATACTTCTAAAAATCTGGATATCTTATTCATGTCCACCCTTGTCAAATGTGGCATCTACTTAGTACTTCCTTAGGTATGTAGTTCGAGGTGGAAAGACTATTATGTCAATCTTTTTATTTTTATATAGATAGAAATATATGTTATGATGCTGTTTTATCTATTTTATAAAATATTCTCACTTTGATGTGTTGATATTTTTTTTTGGAGATTGTAATTATGCAGTTGAATTGTGATGAGATTTTTAATATGCCAAACTTGATTTATGGTTAAGTGAGGGTTATTCAGCTTATCTCTAACTAGGGTATTAATTGGATTGATATTCTGTTGTTTCAATAAGAATGGTTTTCTCTTGTCATGATGCATTTAGAATTCACAACTGGAAGAGCAAAAATGATTTGATCAAAAAAAAAGGACGAACAAAAATGATTGAAAGACTCGTGCTAGATATTTGTACAGTTGGTAAACCTGTGGATATTATTTAGTAGAATTTCTTAAGAGAATCACATTTTTGACTATTTATACAAATAAATAAAACTTTGCCTTTTTCAATACAATATTCAATCGCTTTCACTATAAAATAGTGCATTGGTTGAATATACATGGTTGTGAAAATAATTAGTTATAATATACTTAATTCTCTAAATAATAATAAAAGGTTATAAACCGAAAATCTATCAAACTTTTAGTATAGAGGGATCATGATAATAATAAAATTGATAATTGATCACAATAAACTTTGTGATTCTGTCCCAAAAATTCAGATAATTTTCATTCCAATATACCACTAAAAGTGAATGAAATAGTATTTTATTAATTGATCATTGTTTATTTGTTTGTGTGGTTAGTATAAATCTGTAAACGTGTGATGCAGCAATAAAATTATGTGGTTAATATTGTTAATTCAAGGGGTTGATTAACAAAATATACAACAACTTAGGGCATCTCCAATCTTACTATATTTTTTTATTCTAAAATAGAGTTTAGAGTAAAAATATTTCAATAGTATTATATTTGTTACACTATAATAGAATGAAAATAAGTTTATTTTGTATTTAAAATAAGTTATTTTTGTTTTATTCATAATTTTATTTCTTAATTTAAAATATAATACCACTGAAATAAAACTGAACTTTATTATAAAATTATTTTATTTTGAGAGAAAAAATAGAGTTAATCATTGGAGATGGCTTACAAATTAAACTATTGCTTACTATGAATTCTTCACTCTTATTTAAAACCACTTTCGTGAGGAAGACTACAGTTCATTAATGTTCATAAGAATTTGTTTTTTTCTCCTCAGGTCTACTTAATTGCTGGTTAAAGAAGAATAAAACTGATTTTTTTTGGAAATAGCATTTTTCCTCCAACTTACAGTAGAACCTCTATAAATTAATACTCAATAAATTAATAATCTCTATAAATTAACAAATTTTACCGGTTCCAACTTCGACCGGTGTAAAATATGACACAAATCGATAAAATAATAAGATAATAATATTTTTAAAACTGCCATGTAAATATATGGTCCCACTAAAAATCATAAATTAATAATCTAGCTATATATAATTTTATATAAGTACAATCTAACATTATATTGTTGGTTTTATATTTACTATAAAAATACTTTTATTTTTAAAAAAAATCAATATATTTTGATAATATTTAGTTAAATTATATCGAAAACCATGTAACAATTCTATGAAACATAATAATATACACCAAATAAGATAATAAAACAATATAAAAGTCAAATTTCTAAAATTTAAATAATGTACATATGCTAAAATCAAATATTTTTTATTTTATAAATAAAAATAGAAAAAACAAAATCTAAATAAAGAAACTTTCATAAATTAATATCTCTATAAATTAATAAAAATTCAAAGTTCTAACATTATTAATTTATTGAGGTTTTACTGGATTTACCAAACTGTGTTCCAAATATATGTAATTAAGTATGTTTTCTTTTTAAACACAGCATCATATATAATGCATCACAATCATTGATGTGGGGGCACTAGTCAATTCATCCATAAATATAGTATTTATTATTATTGTTATTATTATATTTAGATGTCATTTATCAAGTGTATTGTAAAATCGAGTTATTTGACACTAGGGTAGGGTCGGTTACAACAATCTCACAAGCTGTGGGGTCTGATGCCCTTTTATTAGTACCATACACTCTTTTCTGGACTTGACATTATTTGCACGGGTAGAAAATATAAAATATTTTCAATCTATATCCTTATAATATTTATATACCATTTTATTTATGAATATCATACACTATCTTTTAGCTACGTTTCTCTTTGTTACCAACAGAGAAGAGAAATTAATAAACCAAAGGGTTAGATTGGAGGTCTACAGAAATAAGAAAACGACCCTCCACCCACTCATTTGAAATAGTTTTGGAGATAATCTTTCTTTGTAATTACTTAATAATATGAGTTTTGGTTAATGAGATAATCAAGGTTTCTGCC